TTTCTCATGATGTGCTCTGCATATAAGTTAAATAGGCAGGGCGACAGTATACAGCCTTGCCGGACTCCTTTTCCAATTTTGAACCAATCAGTGGTTCCGTGTCCAGTTCTCACTGTTGCTTCTTGACCCGCATATAGGTTTCTCAAGAGACAAATGAGATGGTCTGGTACTCCCATCTCTTTAAGAACTTGCCATAATTTGTTGTGATCCACACAATCAAAGGCTTTTGCATAGTCAATGAAGCAGAAGTAGATGTTTTTCTGGAACTCCCTAGCTTTCTCCATGATCCAGCGTATGTTGGCAATTTGATCTCTAGTTCCTCTGCCTCTTCGAAATCCTGCCTGTACTTCTGGTAGTTCTCGATCCACATACTGCTGGAGTCTAGCTTGTAGGATTTTAAGCATAACTTTACTAGCATGTGAAATGAGTGCAATGGTGCGATAGTTTGAACATTCTTTGGCATTGCCTTTCTTTGGAATTGGAATGTAAACTGACCTTTTCCAATCCTGTGGCCACTGTTGAGTTTTCCAAATTTGCTGGCAAATTGAGTGTAGCACTTTTACTGCATCGTCTTTTAAGATTTTGAATAGCTCAGCTGGAATACTGTCACCTCCACTAGCTTTGTTGTTGCTCAGATTTTCTAAGGCCCATTTCACTTCACATTCTAGGATGTCTGGTTCGAGGTCAGTGACCATCTCATTGTGGTTATCTGGGATGTTAAGCTCATTCTTGTATAGTTCTTCTGTGTAGTTTTGCCATCTCTTCTTAATCTCTTCTGCCTCTGTTAGGTCTCTGCCATTTTGGTCCTTTATCATGCCCATCTTTGCATGAAACGTTCCCTTCATATCTCCAATTTTCTTGAAGAGATCTCTGGTCCTCCCTATTCTGTTGTTTTCTTCTATTTCTTTGCACTGTTCATTTAAGAAGGTATTCTTATCTCTTCTAGCTATTCTCTGGAATTCTGCATTCAATTGGGTGTATCTTTCTCTTTCTCCTTTGCCTTTCGCTTCCCTTCTTTCCTCAGCTATTTGCAAAGCTTCCTCAGACAGCCATTTTGCTTTCTTGCATTTTTTTTCCTTTGGGATGGTTTTAGTTGCTACCTCTTGTACAATGTTGTGAACTTCCATCCATAGTTCTTCAGGCACTCTGTCTATCAGATCTAATTCCTTAAATCTATTTGTCACCTCTACTGTATATTCATCAGGAATATGATTTAGTTCATACCTGAGTGGCCTAGTGCTTTTCCCTACTTTTTTCAATTTAAGCCTAAATTTTGCAACGAGAAGCTCATGATCTGAGCCACAGTCAGCTCCTGGTCTTGTTTTTACTGACTGTATAGAGCTTCTCCATCTTTGGCTGCAGAGCACATAGTCAATCTGATTTCTATGTTGACCGTCTGGTGATGTCCATGTGTAGAGCCGTCTCTTGGGTTGTTGGAAAAGAGTGTTTGTTATGACCATCGTATTCTCTTGACAAAATTCTATTAGCCTGTGCCCTGCTTCATTTTGTACTCCAAGGCCAAACTTGCCTGTTATTCTGGTTATCTTTTGGCTTCCTACCTTAGCATTCCAATCCCCCATGATGATAAGGACATCATTTTTTGGTGTTAATTCTATAAGGTGCTGTAGGGCTTCATAGAACCGGTCAATTTCATCCTCTTCAGCACCAGTGGTTGGGACATAGATTTGGACTACTGTGATATTGAATGGTTTGCCTTGGATTCGAATTGAGATCATTCTGTCATTTTGGGGATTGTATCAGCTAATGGAGATTTATTTATTTATCAAATTTAGAGACAGCCATCTTAATCACTCTGGGTGGTTTACAATTTAATGCTAGATTTAACACTGTTCATATTTAATCATCTATTCTATACTTATACTAGGGACAACTAAGAAAAAGATAGAACCCCTAAATTATTGTTGAACAAAGTACAAATTGGGTGCAGATTTTGTAGACCTAAATTAGATGACATTTCACAGTACTTAATCAATGCAAGAGCTATACTATAAAGTTTAAAAAAAATAAGAACGACAGTTTGTTATTTATAATTCCTATAGAATTCTAACTTAACCAAGAATGCTGTTAAAGGAACGAGAATATACCATTCTGAGGATGGATGAGTTTTGTGTGATCACTGCCATATTCAATGACATTTTCCTGGAATAAGATATCAATTCTTAGAATCCCAATGACAAACCCTGATGATTCTAGGAAGGAAGAATGTCCCGTTTCATAAAATTAAACATTTCTCTGGATAGTATACTATAGGGGTGTCAAACTGCTGGCCTGTGAGCTGGTTGCATCATACCAAAGCCACGCTTACCCCATTGCCGGTAATGCAAAAAGAGTTGCAATACGTCGCAACACGTCACATGATGTGGCGAGTTTGATACCCATGGTATACTATGTCATATTTGCTTTTCCTAGTAATATATTTCTTGATTCCAATCTGAAAACATTCTATTTATTTGTCTCTAGTTTTCTAGAAATAGTTGCCTAGATAAATGCTCAAAAGCATTACACCAATATAGATTTATTTCCAGCTGCACACTTCATCTGAGACACAGGCATTTGGAAAACATGCTATTTCAGGACCAGCAACTAAAACCATTTCCTAATATAATTTACTGAGACAAGAACAACACTGACAGAAGGCCATAAGTCATATGAAGTTTCTACTGCCTGCTAAATCTGAAGACCCAATTATCTACTAGCATATTATTGAAGGCTAAGTTTACTGCAGCTGCAGTAAATAATAATTTCTTAGACTCTATAAGTCTGTATGGAGGAGTCCTGCACAAAATCTTCTCTCACTCTTTAATTTACAAGGAGAAATAAAATGCCAAAAACATCTGACACACTTCCCAAAAAAAATCCCCAGTACATTCATATTTATAATCAGCTCAGAGTAAATTAGGTACTTTGGATCCAGCAACTTATGTAACGTGAGAGAATATGAATAAACTGATGATGGGAAAAACTAGGGAAAAAATGGGTTGCATTTTTACCAACTTGCACTAAGGGTGAGGTTTGCTGAGACATACATTGCAGCTAGCAAGGATAGGATGCACCTTTCCATCAGTTAAAAACAATATGCACATACACATCACAACTATATACAGCTCTGTCTCCTAATGTTTATCTTTTGTGCTCAAAAGACAAGGTATAATTTCTTATATAATTCCTTTAGCTTATGACTGCATGCCAAAAATGTTTCACATAATAATGTGTGCTATTTAAAGAGCACTTTAGAATATTGAAAGATATGACACTAAAAGGTCATAATTACATTACATGACCTAAACATGATCTGTTCTCCATATAAGTCCAAAAACTAAATAGAGAAAACCCATTTAAGCAAAGGTATTTTATTTCAAAAGCTACATATCCAAAACTATATATTTATGTTTGGTCTAATAGTTAAGGCACTAGGGTAGAAATTTACGGAGGCCATAAGTTTTAGTCCTGCCTTAACTATGACAGCCAGCTGGGTGACTCTGAGTCAGACACTCTCTCAGCCCGATCCATCTCACAGGGTTATTGCTGTGGGCAAAATAGGAGGAGGAGGAGGAGGAGGTGGTGGTGGTATTAGGTACATTTATAAAAATATAATTAAATAATTAATATAAATAAAAGACAGGAAATAGATAGATAGATAGATAGATAGATAGATAGATAGATAGACAGACAGACAGACAGACAGACAGACAGACAGACAGACAGACAGACAGACAGACAGACAGACAGACAGACAGACCGACCGACCGACCGACAGACAGACAAGATAGGGAATCTCCAGGCTTATCATTTAAAGAAGAAATTGTTAGGTGTTTCAATTAATGGGATGATAATCAAATCCTGCCTTATTTAAAGAACAGAATTCTGAGTATTCACTATCAAAGACTGATCTTCACATCACAAGTATGTGAAAGTGTGTCATGCTCAAACAAAGGATATTTATGCAGAAATATTGAAAAATCCAGTGGGTTCACAAAGGTTTAAGCACCCCCTGTAAATAAATAAAAATCAATTACGATACAATAAAGTTGAAGTAATTTTTTTTTTAATGTTCAAAGCCATGACAGAAATGATTAGAGGCATTTTCTTTTGACCATGTGGAAGAGCCATGTTGCTGAAAAGACTCTTTTGGAATTCTCCTTTGGAATTTCAGACTGAGAGGCCTTAAAAGAAGACCCTTCTTCTGATCTAAGGGTACAAAGACATAAAGACTTGGCCCTGATTGACAAGGCTTGCTCCCCTCTCACGCTCTAGCTGGACTTTCCAGGCTATCCTCAAAGGCAGCCCTTCCCCCCATGTGAATTACTGTAACTCCTGTAGTACATGCTCCATTACATTCTATAAAAGGATATTTTGATTACTGCTTTGTCATGATTTCTATTGACATCAAATGATTTTTTTAAAAAACCTAAACAAGTTCCACATCATGTGCTTTTATTGTTTTTTTTTTAACATATCCACATATGATACTAATAACCTAGGAGCATGAAAGGTAACTAATCTGACCATAGGAGTCTACTCAAGATATTAAAATAAATAATCCTTTGAGCTTTAAGCCAGCTTACTTTTACAAGCCTCAATTTGAATCTATGAGCAGGCTGGAAGCTCTATTTTTATAAAAGTTTTATCCAACAACTAGGTCCTTATTAATCATCATTATGAAACAAAACCTGTTCTATTTTATTGGGGAATGACTTTGCAAGAAAAAGACAAAAGCTGGAGACACACATTTCACAGGCCAAAGAAGATGAATCTATTTAAAGCTCTTCTGTGAGTTATGGAAGAAACTAATTCTTCTATAAGAAAAGCTAAAAGGACGCTAAAATGATGACATTTCTAAACACTGGAGGATTTTAATTTCAGAGAATTCTTTCTCAGCATTTACATTTATATCTGTCGTTTCAGATAAAAAACAACTGCCCTTTTTATTTTTAACTTTTATAATAAGCACCTTGTACAGCACCCTGCAGGTGTACCAATATTACAAATAGCCTCAAAAGAGAAGTGCTTATCTTTGCATCTGACTGTAGAATTACACTCGCCAGCAGCAGGCTTTGTGGTGTGCATCCACAGGGGAATTGGCTACAGACAATTTCAGAAGGAGGAGATCTTCAAATCTTCTGCTCATTGACTCACCACAGACTTCAAGTTCAGACAGCTCCAAGCAGCACTGAAGAGAGCAAGCATTGTAACATTAGAGAGAAAAAATACCAGGCAACCCATTATTACAGACAAGCTTGGCTATCTATGCTGCTCTCTGTTCATCTATAGATTGGGTGTTCTATTTCTTTGGACATTATCCAAACACATTGGCTTAAGCTTTCCTTTTTTTATTTCTAGAGAATCAGCCAAGCTGAGTGAAGGAAGAGCTGCTAGAAAGAAGAGGTATAGTTAAAAGAGCGCATGAATGCATAACTCTGGAGGCTAAGGATTCTAGGGCGGTTTATGGACCATTTTGTAAGATATGGCAAATGCTTTTTTCTTTAAATCCTCTCCACCAACTCACCCATTCAAAGCCTCTAACATGCATTTTAATTTATTAATTGGAAATGTACGTATGTGGCCCTTAGAGGATTTTGTGCCCATGCACAAGGGCACTTTCAGATTTTACAAACATTTTACTTCTGTAACAGGTAAAGCTTCGTACTAATCAATCGACATCATCACTCACCACTTCTCACTGCACTAAGAACAAGTGCCTTTCCCCATGCGGTACAAATGCAACAACAACTGTCATTACTATATAGAAATGGCAGCAATGTTAGCTTAATGGGGTTAGTCACAGAGTCACAAGTCAAAAACTAAGCACAGGTTGGCTTATACTACTTGGTTCACTTATTAGCTAGAGACATATTTTCAATTAGCTGCCAGTTCCTTATCAGTGCTACAGATTCTTTGCACTAAAATGTCAATACTCTCCTTCAAAAAAACTCCCTCAGGTTCTACTCCCCTGAAAACGTGAAATAAATAGAGGTGCATCACAGAAAATCTGAACCAATCCCAGGATGTGTACCACTGGGAGCTACAAAATGTATGTATCTCCCTTCATTAAGTTAACAAGTATTTCTTTGTTAATTTGTTGCCATGAAAAATAATTTTGAGTTGCTTAAGCCATAATAATAATAATAATAATAATTATTATTATTATTATTATTACTATTATTATCATCATCATTATTATTCCGGCTGCACAAGACCAAGCCTTAAGGACAAATGCATATAAAGTCAAAATTGAGAAGACAGCAACAGACAATAAGTGCCGCCTATGCAAAGAAGCTGAAGAAACAGTGGACCACCTGGTAAGCTGCTGCAAGAAGATCGCACAGACTGACCACAAGCAATGGCATGACAAAGTAGCAACAATGTTGCATTGGAAGATCTGCAAGAAATATCATTTGCCTGTAAGCAAGAACTGGTGGGACCATAAAATAGAGAAAGTCATAGAAAATGAAAATGTTAAATTTCTCTGGGACTTTAGAATTCAAATAGAGAAGCACCTGCCACATAACACCCCGGACTTAACAACTGTCGATAAGAAAGATAAAAAAAGTCTGGATAGTGGATGTGGCAGTGCCTGGAGACAACAGAATAGATGAGAAAGAACTGGAGAAGATAACAAAATACAAAGACCTACAAACAGAAATAGAAAGACTGTGGCAAAAACAAGCAAGGGTAGTACCAATAGTAATAGGCGTCTTGGGTGCAATCCCAAAACAACTGGAGCACCACTTGAACACCATTGGCATTGACAAATTTGCCATTAGTCAATTGCAAAAGGCTAGGAACTGTTCCATCCTGCGACGATATCTGTAATAACATCAAACATCCACATCTGCCTATCCCAGGTCCTTGGGAAGGGCTCGATAGGTAGACAAAATGCCAAATCCAGGCTGAACATCTGGCTGACTGTGCGATGATTCATAATAATAATAATAATAATAATAATAATAATAATAATAATAAAGTTGGAAGGGACCTTTGAGGAGAATACAAGCATATAAGCAGCAGTGATGATGATGATGATAATGATGATGATGATGATGATGATGATGATGATGGAAGGGACCTTGGAGGTCATCTAGTCCAACCCCCTGCTCAGGCAGGAAACCCTATACCATTTCAGACAAATGGCTGTCCAGTCTCTTCTTAAAAACTTCCAGTGTTGGAGCATTCACAACTTCTGGAGGCAGGTTGTTCCATTGGTTAATTGTTCTAACTGTCAGGAAGTTTTTCCTTAGTTGTAGGTTGCTTCTCTCCTTGATTAGTTTCCATCTGTTGCTTCTTGTCCTGCCTTCAGGCACTTTGGAGAATAGATTCTTTGTGGCAGCCCCTGAGATATTGATATCATGTCTCCCCTTGTCCCTCTCTTCATTAAACTGGACTCTTTCAACCTGCACTTTAGTACTCACCAGGAAATAAATTATTTAAGTACTGCTTTTTTTCCAGACCCTCAAAACCATGTTCAATGGGAGCTTTTGAGAGTCTGAAAAAAAATTCTTCTGAAAAACAAAGTATTTGAGATTGACAATAAATGACCCATACAATTTGTCTGCATGACAGTGGGAGATGAAGGAATAGCCATCGTGTTCAAGCCGTGCTTGGCACCTTGGAAAATGGTTTGCATACTACCTTTTCTAATTACTTTCAGAAATTGCTTGTTCACTGCTGTTCAGCTACTAGGAACCTTTGGATCAACAAGTCTGAATGCACTGGGTGAGTTTCCTTCAATCCTTAGTGAGATAAATTTTTAGGATAAGTTTAAGAACATTTTTTTCTTGTTCTTTTTGGTATAATAAACAGCAAAACAGTGATTAGAACAATAGATTTTAGAAAGTTACAAATGAACTAAATATCCAGATAAATTCAAACTAATGGTTTGTAATTAATTTTAAAGAATCCTTCCTTTGGGAAAAATGTTTTTATTTTGAATTGAAAAGTAATAATACGATAAGATTTTAAAAATTGGACACTAGAGGGAACTAGAGGGAATTAAATACTACAATGAAAAGAAAAGAATACTTGAACTCAACTTATTATTTCAGAATGAAGCAAAAAATTCTAACATTTGACATATTGAAGGATAGTTTTGAACAATGGACCCAGAAATTAATTTTAAGAATGTCTGCCTATATGGATTGTTGTTGTTGTTAATTGAGAGGTCGTGTCCGACCCATCGCGACCCCATGGACAACGTTCCTCCAGGTCTTCCTGTCCTCTACCATCTTCTGGAGTCCATTTAAGTTCATACCTACTGCTTCAGTGACTCCATCCAGCCATCTCATTCTCTGTCGTCCCCTTCTTCTATTGCCCTCAATCTTTCCCAGCATTAGGCCCTTCTCCAGTGAGTCCTTGCTTCTCATTAGGTGGCTGAAGTATTTGAGTTTCAACTTCAGGATCTGGCCTTCTAAAGAGCAGTCGGGGTTGATCTCTTCTAGGACTGACCGGTTTGAACGCCTTGCAGTCCAAGGGACTCGCAGGAGTCTTCTCCAGCACCATAGTTCAAAGGCCTCAATTCTTTGGCGCTCAGCCTTTCTTATGGTCCAACTTTCACAGCCATACATTGCAACTGGGAAAACCTATATGGATAGACGGTCTAAAATATATAATGGAAAAGGAACAAATTCTACCTAACAAGATCAAGACTGAATTGAAAGTGAATTTAAAAATGGCAGGCCACAAAAATGACATGGAAAAATATGTTGCATTGAGCATACAAAAGAAACCAGATGATGTCTTAATAATTAAAAGGAATGTACAAACAAAAACCAAAACACTGACCTGCATCATTTTTCTTTATTGAATTAACAAGAGGCTTGTTACTTGAAGAATTGTGTGAAAAAGGACAAAACAAATGAACGGAAATCAAGTTCTAAGACATTATTTGAATGTAGGAAAAAATAGGGTTGTTAGAAGCAATATAAAGTTGGTTTATTTGATCAAGGTTGTTATCTCTTTAATGGATTTGACTGGCACAAGGACTGAAATTATGATGTTTTATGGATTTGTTCGTACGTATGAAATGAAATATGGGAAAAATATAATTTGTTGTATTTTAAGAGAATATAAATTACTAAAATTATTTATATTGTTGTGATGAAGGTCTGTTTGTTTTTATTTAAAATATTCTTATTTTTTTCCTTTCTCTTACTTTTCTATTATTCTTCCTTTCTTTTTTCTTTTTCAGTTTGTATTAGATTTTATTATTTTATTTATAATATTTAAATAAAATTACAACATAAAAATGACCTTCAGTGGCTCTATAACTTTACTGGACTATATTAAGGGAGAAGACCACTATCCAGTCCCTCATTTGACCAAATATTCTGGATATTTTGACAACTCAAAATTTTCTTTCCACAGTTAAGTTAAATCCATATCTCTGGATTATTAAAGCAACAACTATTCAACAAAGGACCCTGGACTGAAAGGCAAGTAAAGTGACAGAATAGAAGAACAACAAACAACATCTTAAACAACATACAGTAAGCATTCTGCTAAGTTAGCACACAAACAAATCTTGTCTGAACTTTAGAACAAACAGACAGATCAACACAATGTTTCTCAACCTTGGCCACTAAGATATGTGGACTTCATTTCCCAGAATTCCCCAGCCAGCATGCTTAACATTGAAGGACAAAAAAGAATTTTAGGCAGAATCTGAGGACATAATTGTAGTATTTGAGAGAAGCTGGGAGAGTTGCAATGAAGAGAAAATTACTGGGAAAGCATTAGTCATATCATGAGGTCAATTTAGCTGTAAATCTGATGAACTGAAGCAAAGAACAAAACAAAAGGATACCATGACATTATTTAGCATCATTTCATTTTTAGAAGAGTATAAAACTGTGTAAGTAACATCTAACTCAAACTTTTACAAAACTCCACATTCTTATCTTCAGGTTAATGACCCTGTGAAGTTACATATTGTGTTTTTCATTTAATCTTGAGAAAAAGAATATTAGAATAATTTTCTTTGTATTCGTGGCCTTTCAAGGTGAACGGCTAATGACTGGCAATCAGTTACCTTCTTAAGATTAATGGTATCCAGCATGGAGCATTGTAATTTGCCCTGTCATCCTTAGTAAGATGTATGGATGAATGAGCCTGATGAAAGAAGACCGTCAGTGGTTTTCAGGGCCACTGGACATTCTCCAAACAAATCAGTATCTT